TAATTTTTATGAAATAAAGAGAGGTGGTTTCGTGCCCCGCCATTTTTTAATTTTTGATGTCTTTCTTTACCTATTATAAATTACTTATGATTTATGCATTAATTCCTCCCGTATAATTAAATCTGCATAAAATCATATCACATACCGGGCTATGATCTGTAATGCATAATTTTTTTTAATATTTATTCTACAATTATTATACCTATCATAAATTAGTTTCACGCATTTAATTGTAATGGTAACGGGTTCCAGTTTGTTATAAATAGCTTTATTATATGATACTCATAAAAATAAAAAAAATTATATACTTTCGTATTTATAAAGGATAATTACTTTAATAGGTTAAATCACAAGATAATTAAAATAATTTTATATGAAATAATTTTACCTAAACCTTTCAAAGATGATGAAATTATATGAAATTTCAATGTCGATTTTAAGACAAAGGTAAATTTAATTTCAACCAATTGGAGTTTTTTCTGTTTATCTAATGATGTGTTTGGACATATGACCATGGACAATAATTTGGTTGGACATTTGTCCATGTACATTCTTGCCTGCCGACAATAATCATTGGACATTGTCCAAAGTTGTCCATGTCCACCGATTTTTTCATGGACATTGTCCATGTACATCACTGTATATGGTGGCATAGCTTCTTTAGAAAAATTTGAAGCATCAACCATCTTTGACTTATTAATTGCTTTAAATGAATTTAAGCTTACAGGATTAATCGAATATATTCAATCTTATCTTATTGACAATAATGCATCTTGGCTTCGTCTAAAGTTTTCTTGAATTTATCAAATAAGTTTCGATAATGAAAACTTTAAAGCTTTACAACAATTTTGCAATGACATTCTTGTAAAAACATCCAAGTATGATTTTTAACAATGATGATTTTAAAACTCAAGAGAATGCTTTGATTGCTCTTTAAAACGAGATGATTTACAAATGGAAGAATCCGAAATTTGGGATTAAGTTATTCAGTGGGGAAAAGCCAGAACTCCTAACTTATCATCTGAGAACTTTAAGTCTTTAAAAACAACTCTTCAACACTGCCTTCCTCTTATTAGATACTTTCAAATTCCTAGTAAAGACATTTTAATGGAAGTTAAACCTTATCACACTATCCTTGAAAAGAACATATGGGATGGTATTCTAGCAAACATTTAGCTCCAGATCTGCCCATTGCTTCTCTAATTTTACCTCCTCGTAAAAAAACAACGGTACAACTTCCTTCTCGAAAAGTGTCTATTATTGCGCTATCTTTCATAATCACATTAGAGCATGTAGCAGAAATTTCGTCCTGGATTGATCAATGTACAACAATTTACGATACCACAGAGATTCCATATGAATTTAAACTTTTACTTAGAGGCAGTAGGGATGGATTCTCAGGAGAAGAATTTCATAAGCTGTGTGATAATATACCTGGTACTGTGGTTATTGTAAAGATTGATAGTATAAATAAGATACTTGGTGGTTATAATCCTCTTATCTGGAAAGTTGGTAATACCAATAGTAAATATGATCAACAGCTGATAGTTTTATTTTTTCTTTAAAAAATGGAAACATGAATCAATCTATTCTTAGTCGTGTACAAAATAAATCAGCTGCAATTTGGTATGGTGAAATAACATAAGGTCCAGTTTTTGGTAATGACTTTGAAATAGGAAGGTATCCTAAATTTACTCTTAAAGAATGGTATTGTGGAAATAATTATTATGAAAAACCAATAAGAAATACAGATGATTGGCTTTTTATAGATGAATATTAAGTATTTCAAATTTATAAAACTTAACACATTCGATTTAATAAAATTGAATATATTATTTATTGCTGAAAAGGAAAAAAAATTCAAATACGTTGATTGAAAAGCATAGGTATAACTAGTCATGTGGCTGGAAGAATGCGGTGTTACGGTCGATGGGAGAGCTTTCGGCAATTGATGTCGGTTTAGCTTCGATCGTGAACAAAGTGATTAAGGTAAAATGGTTAAACCGATAAACTAACACACATAATTACGGGTTAAGGTTTCTCTTTATTAACATAAATCAATACATCAGATTATCATAATAATACTAAATACTATCACTAATCGTTAACAATCGTTATTCTCTTCATAAACTGAAACTACATCCTTATATATCTCTAATTCGTATGGGGTTTTAATCCCTCGCTTGGGGTTTCAATCCCTCGTTGAGGGTTATTATCCCCCAACTGTGCCGCAACAATCCCCTTCCAAAATAAGAAATACATAAAAAATAAATAAAATATGAGACTAATTAAAAAGAAAGTTGAGCATAACGCCGGCTAGCCAAAGATACCAGAAACTAGTATAGTATATATTTTTACTGTTTATAGGATAGTTTATAGGCGTATTGAATTTAAAATATACCGTAAAGTCCCGAATATAAGCAATACCTCGATTTTAATGTTACATACTAAAAATAAAAATAAGCAACCTTTTAAAAATTACTAAATATAATAATATTAAGAATAATTTTTATTAATATTGACCAATAGAAATTAAGTATTCCAAAGGTACTAAAATTAGCTAAAAAATTGGCCAAAATGGGTGGCTTAGATGTTTGCTTCTTTATTTGTTATGAAATAAAAATATTATTAATCTAGTTACAAACAAATAGAAAATTATATTTGGCCCATACAAAAGAATTAAAAATTAATAAAATGTTTCAAATAATTTGTACAAAATTAACATAATTTATATTTATGATTTTAAAGGATTCTTACTCAATGAATAAATCACCAAGACGCAAATAATAAGAGTAATACACGTCACTCTGATTATAAAGACATCGGGCCATAATATCAATTTTAAAATTTTTAACAAATATAATAATATAAAAAATGGGTTGGTTGAAACAACATCTAGATATATAGACAACTTATTTATTTTAGAGAATGTCAATAGAATATTCGAATAGATTTTTATAGAGAATAGGAAATTTTTATAGGGAGAATATTATAAAAATTTTTGATAACTAAGAAAAATTACTATAATTGTTTCTTCTTAAATACTGGCTACATAAACGCATATTTTATATAGGGGTTTAATTTATAGCGCGCTATAGCACTGTAGTGCTAGGGCATTTTAACCAATTAAAATTTAAGATCAGATGTATCATGAATTTTTTAAAAAATTAATTATATCTCAAAATTTTGCCTAAAAAAATTCCTTGCTAAATTTTACTATAAAACTACTCAACCCTAACCCTTCGTCCTTACTTTAACATTAAAGAATTTAATATTTGTTTTGATGAAAGTCGATTTGATTTACATGTTACACTAGTTTAGTTTATTTACATATAGAGTAGCGTCACAGTGCTATAATGCTATAATAATATTCCCTTTTATATAAATTAATATAAATATAGATTTTGAGAATTTACTCTCGATTCCTGTATTACTGTAATTTAAAAATAAAGTAAAATGTTAGAAACATAAAAAAAAAAAAAAAAGCATATATAAGGTTATACGTAAATAGCATCTATTAAAATTTATCAAAAATTTAGAAAGAAGTATAATAAGGCTTATACTTACGAGCTAATAATAGTAATTTCATTTTATCCGTTTCTGAGAAATCGCTACTATGCTAACTTTTATAAAAAGATAAGATTAACTTTTACCAAGAGTCTTACAGTTATAATAAAACTTCTTACACGCGTCTCCTTTGTTTTATTGTGTGTTGTTTTTCGAAAAGTAATTGCAATGAATAATAACCAATCATACGAAAGTCTTACTATGGCTACTATTATAAAAAAACCATATTATTTACCAATTTGCGAAATCTCAAATTCCGATCAAAACTGCTAATTGTCAATTGGTGCCAAAAAGGTTTGGTTACATCACTAAACACCCAAATATAGCGTTCACTCATTTCTACAAAAGTGATACAAGAGAAAATTAATCAGAGTACAAAAATTTGCCAACAAAAAAAGCAGGTTACATCACCCAAAATCGAACATTGTTTTCAATAACAAATTTTAAATCCTCTATTTTTTTATTTCCTGTTTTAGAAGTTTGTATTACTCGAAAAGTCAATACTGTATAATCGTATTAAAAACCTATAGTATGTTATTAGCCAATGTGTTAGCTAGCAGAAGACCTTTATCAAACGAGTTAGGATGTGCTCTTTTCTTACATAAATCTATTAAATTTTTTTTATATAGCATGGATAATAGAATAAATACCATTATTGCTTTAAGCTTATAATTCAATCATTAAAAAGCACAGTTCATATAACTTGTAGCATTTTTTTTTACTGAACATATATCTATACATTTAAAAAACACCAAGGAGCCCTTTTAATATAAGTCATTTACAGTTGCACCTTTAATGCAAGTATAGTTTAACAACCTCGGCCAATTTCATGCTCAGAATTGTTTATGAAGGATGTTTATTATGACAATACATAAGCAAAATTTGTAAATTAAATGTATATCAAAGGTGCATATAAAAGGAATAGATTTACAAAGATGGTATCCGTCAAGAAATTTCCAAGTATTAATAATTTACTCCGTTAACCGGATATTTTAGCCATATAATGACTTTCCTACCCTGTACAACCTCTATACAAAGAAAGTAACAATTTTTATACCAAATTTTTATCATTGAAAGGCTTCGTTTTAGTTTACTTGTGTACCTAAACATCATTTATTTTGTGCGACTAGCTAATAAGACAAGAAACATAATCGATTATCCTGTTAATAACGTGAGTAATGTGAACAATTACAGAACTAGAAATTGACTTAGTCATTACAAAATTGTATTTTAGATCAACTTTTTTTATATATGTCCTCTCATTCGAATTTCTTTATATAAAGTCTACTCATTTGAATTCCTCCATATATCGTCCTCAAAATTCCTTTCATCCGACTTCAATCCATATTTTATCATTTCTTTCGAAATATACATTCATTAATCATTTTCCGAAAACCAAATCTCGGAAATCACCCCATTCACTTATTTATAAGATGTGCAAAATTAATTTTTCGATTTTAATCCTAGCATTATTATGTCTCGTAAATATCTCGAGTACCAAACACGTTTCAACGGACGGTTCATGCGGTCCTGATAAGGATACCGTATGGTAAATATTGTCATGCTGACTTGAATAATATATTTATTTTTTTATTTCAACTATTCTATATATTTTTCCAGCCCCGACGGCTTTTGCTGTTCTAGATATGGTTATTGCGGTAATACACCTGGTATGTTTCTTAATTATTTTTACCTAAATTTTCTATATACAGTTATACTTTTCTTCAACCTTTAATTTCTTTTTCTCCTATAGATTTTTGTAATCAAGGATGCCAACAAGATTTTGGTACCTGCAGCCCAAATTCGACCCAAAACGTCTCAGCGGACGGTACATGCGGTCCTGATAAGAATACCGTATGGTAAATATTGTCATGCTGACTTGAATAATATATTTATATTTTTATTTCAACTAATCTATATATTTTTCCAGCCCCAACGGCTATTGCTGTTCTAAATATTGTTATTGCGGTAATACACCTGGTATGTTTCTTAATTATTTTTACCTAAATTTTCTATATACAATTATTACTTTTCTTCAACCTTTAATTTCTTTTCCTCCTATAGCTTTTTGTGATATAGATCAAGGATGCCAACCAGGTTATGGTACCTGCGGTCAAAATTCAACTGCCCAAAATTCAACTGCACAAAATTCGAGTGCCCAAAACCAAACCGTCTCAATTAACGGTTCATGCGGTCCTGCTACGAATACCGTATGGTAAATATTTTCATGCTGACTTGAATAATTTATTTATTTATTAATTTAACTATTCTATATATATATATTACCAGCGCCGCCGGCTATTGTTGTTCTAAATATGGTTATTGTGGTAATACAACTGGTAAGTTTCTCATTTTTTCTGAAATTTCGATTTTTTTTTTTTTTTTTTTTTCAGTTAAAATGCTAAATTCTTAAATAAATTTTTAAATAATTTCCTTTCATAATAGATTTTTTTTTTCCTAATCAAGGATGTCA